TCTTCAAATGCGTAATTAGATCAATCTCATTAGGATGGAATGGTGATGCAATTGGAGTACTGGCGTGCCAATTGTAGGACTAACATACCATGGATTCGATTTCTAGCCAATGAGCTTCGAGTTCTTCATTTTTTTTATGGTATAATGTTTACGTTGGTCTTGTGGAAGCTTGCCAAGAGAGCGTCCAAGGTTCCCTGATAGTGTTTGTTTGGTAAGGTGTTCACTTCACCACTTTATCTCAAACAGGACACCTCAAACATCACATGCAGATTTAATAAGATATTTTCTTCACTGTTCGTTAATTCTCAGTTTTTTGTGAGGAATAATCTCGAGTATAAAACTTCAAACATTTTTACGTCTTTGTCAACAAAATCAAGTAAGGAAAATAATTATATTTAATATTACCAGTTACAGGGCACTTGTACCTGGGAAAAATTTTGACAGTTTTTCAAAGATTTATATGTAATATTTGATAGGGTGGTTAGGTAAGGTTCGTCCGGAAATAGGACAAGTGTTTCTTGACGCGGGTCTTAGATTGTCACAAATTATGAAAGCGAGTGTAAGGCTGTTGAGCAAGGTAGTAGTGGTGTCCTTAATTACGGTAATGACGAATCCAATAGTTGTGTTGATAAATATAGTGAGCATCATGCTGAGGGCAGTGGAGTCTATGATGTTAGTAATAGTGATGAGCGTAATATAAGTGGTGGTGCCGAGTGTGATGAGTTAGCCACATTGAACATTAATTGATGAATACAATACTGTTGATAAATGTAGATGAACACAATGTTTGTAGTGGTGTTAGTTGATGACAGTTATAGTGATGTTGGTAATGTTAGTGGATGGGGAATGTGATGGAGGTGTCACTATCATACATTCCACACGTGAACAGCGTCGTGGCTCTTGTGTAAACAAAGACTCCCACGAGCCTTACAATGGAAGTTGGCACTTAAAAAACTCATGGACCAGGTGTAGACTGCTGACATTGATAACCTCTGCTATTTAAATTGGAACAATTTTTTCATTATGCTGGGAGAAACTCAACAAGATCCCAGACTACTATATATGGATCTAAACCTCATATAAACTTTCTATATAAGCTGGAACATTGCATCACTTAGAAAAAGACTTCCTGGAACTTCATCATAAAGTAACCACACCGAAAGCCCATTGATGTTGTTGTCTACAAGATGGCAGATGTCCCTAAAAATCCCAACGGCCCGCTAAATTGCCATCATTTGTGCATATAACCTCAAATCTACTATCTCTTGTGTTCTATATATTAAGAAATCACTTTCCCCCATCAACTTCTTGCACATAAGAAAACAGAGGGGCACATATCACGGTGTTTGTGTGATTTATATTGGGAACTCTGCTCTCAACATATTTAACTTGTATGCTCCTGCTGATAAGTTTTAATTACTTGGAGCTCCCTACTTGTGCTCAGTCTGACCTACTCTATTATTGGTTATTATAAGTACAAGACACAAAAAGCATTTAAACTCCAGTTTGGTAATCGTAATGGTAATCACCTGTTTGCACTCTTAAAACAGTCATGATAAGTTCAAAATGTAGTGACCTTAAACCCACACATATGTATGGAGGCCCCTTAAACTGGTTTTGGTTTTAACATTATTCTGCCAGCTTGATTTCCCTTTGTAACAGTAATCATGTGACTTTTCCCAAGACTAACCCACTGATTTTGGTATACAATCCTCCCTGGGGTTTTAAAAATGGAAACGTTTTAAATTTCCCCACTGATCCAGATGATTTTTTTGCCATGTGGCTGGCTGGTATAATTCCTAGGTTTTCCCTCCTTTAAGACCTTTAACGGGACCTTTGTGAGCAATTCAGAACTATTTAAAACCCGGCCACTGAAACCTAAGGTAATGTAAACCCATTAATTTCCATAATAATCATACCCCCATAAAAACCATACTTATTAAAAAAATGATACTAAATTCGAACACTTAAACGCATTGTTCACAGACTAGGCCTAGCCTAAAAAACCATCGTACCCCTGCAATGCGAGCCTTTTCCCAAACTGCCTTCTGCTGCCAGAAGCGTATGACAGAACTCCCAAAACAGAGGGGAACAATGTGTCAAGGGCTTTATGCTCACACCCCACTTACCGGGCATGGGGGGGAATAAATGAATTAAAGGGGAACAAACTGGGAGATCCGCACCCTCATCCTTTCATAGACGAATGATTAGTGCTTGGGCTCTACTCTAGCTAGGGGGCTTCCCGTAACCGGCGAAATTAATGGACAATATGATGCAAGGGAGAGATTGTTTGTTTTATGCCAGCAGGCAGATGACTGAAACATTCCTTTCCAAATTTATGAACTTAGCAGCCTAACAAGGGGCAACCCACGTCCCCTGGTGAGGATGGTATTACTTAAACAACTCAGATTGCTGTGTTGATTACCAGGTAACCCTTTACTTAATTAAAAAATGACCCTTTTCCCACTTGGGACCCCCCCAAATCTGGCCCAAACAGCCGCACATTCAAATTCCCAAAGCCCAATCAACAAAATGCTTTTCCCCAATATCTCTTACTAGCTGCTTCGAAAAACTTCGAGAGGATGATTTTTAAAACGTTCATGTACAGAATCAAACCATTTTTGTCCCCCCGGTTGATATTTTCATGAAAGGAGGAGCGGCATCAAAGCATACCCACCTTTCTCTGCCACTGAAGCCTACACTACCTTCCTTGACTTTAAAATCTGCTTTGTTACCCAACCGACATGAAAACCATTATAAAATTTGCCAAATGGACGTTGGAGGATGCTTCTTCCTGGTTAAAGGCCCCTTCCCAACAAAATGTCTATGTTTTTCCCGGCTAAAGTGTAACTAAAGATTTGTTTTAGGCCCCCCACAGGGAGTGTGCTAGGTCCCCCTCTATTCAATATTCTAATTAACCCCTTACTGCTATCCAGCCACCTCCATAATTAAATGTTATTTTTTGCTTAGAATAATGATTCACACCCCCGGATTCTCCAACACCCAAAATATCCTTTAACCATGTACTGCCCTCTTTGGTCAGGACCTGGGGTTGATAATTTACTGATAAAAAAAAAAATACTCAATGGTGTCCTCCTCGACGGAGCACAGTTGTCAAACCGTTGCATGATATTCTTTTAGAATATGTAAGCAAACAGGTATCTAGGGATTGAGGTTCCACTATTGGACCCGTTGTAACGAACTTTTTTCGCCCAAAACAAAAAAAAGGCTGAGAGCACTGAAGTTGTGTCAGGGTTTCATCCCAGGTATGGGCAATGTTAAAAAATTTGAAAATGATGTATCTTGCATATATATTAAATCATTGGTTTATAATGCGCGGGCCCCTACTTGCTTTGGTTGACTGGGAAATTGGGGGCTGGAAAAAAACTGCAAACGAAGCAATGAGAATCTTTTAGGGGGCCCTCGTACTGCAAATTTTTAAAAATGCAAAAGAAAATTGATATACCAACCAGAGATCTTTACTGAAAGAAATATCCTAACGTGGTTATATCTTTAAAAACCCATTCAGACCCCGCATAGAAGCCCCCAAACCTTCCCAGCAAGGTGAACACCCCTCCAGATGGGTCGAAAAAACTGGGAAACCCACCTCCGCATAATCAGATACATGATCTATGTCAATAAGGCAACAGCGCACTTCTCCTCCATGGGATATTACCCCATTCCAAACTCCCCTTCCTAAAATTTTCCCCCCCCAACACGTCTTAAAAATCACAACCAAGGTTTTTCCCCTTTAAAGCTAAACATGAGCCTTAAGCTGTATTGTAACTTCCACCAGCACACATTTTTCCCACAAATTATTTACTTTGAGGGTTTGTTCCCCATCCACTGGTCAGCTGGTATGCTGCGTTGTCTCAGAGTGAGGGCTCTCTTAAAGAAATTGGAGAAACGCATCAATAATTTTGGGCCTCTCCCCTTCAGACAAAACGTTTGCCATACTCCTTGCACTGAAATGCGCCCATGTATCAAAGGTTGACACTTTTAACTGTAACTGATTCTCGCACCATAAATGCCTCAACTCTTAAGAAAAAATTTGTGGTATGCTCGTGTCAGAAGCCAGACACAGGTAGGTAAGATTGGGGACAGGGGAGTCAGAGTGCACATGTTGTGTTTCCCATCTCACATTGGTCTTTCAGTTTGCATGATAGAACTGATAAATTGGTTTAGCTTTGCTTTAAAAGGGGGAGTAGATTACAATTTGGGGTTACAGTTAGCAGTTTAAAGAAAAAAATTATACGAAAAGAACTTCAAACTGAATTTATTGACTTAAAACTCAGGGAGATTGACACAAGTCAGTCCTCTATATCTCTTCTTTTCTTCCTCTTTTTCCCTATTTTTGTACACAAAAATGTTTATTCAAATTTAGTGACATTTAAATTTATTATTTAAAAAATAAAAATTTTTGTTTTTTTATTAACCCCCTTTTAAAACAATACCCCTTTAACCCCACAATTTTATCCAAAAAAGGTTAACTTTCCCTAATTTTAAAAAGGGGTTAGACCTTTCCAGCAAAGAACCTCGGTCAGCCCCCCGACCAAAAGCTCCAACGGGGTCCATCACAAATTTTTAAAAGTTAATAGTAAAATTATGCACCCATACCCATTTTGTGGGGGGTAGTCAAAAAAATTAAGAGGGAATAAAGGGTCCAGGGGCGGGGACCAAATTTTTAAAGGGAGCAAGGTACAAAAAGGGAATGAACTCACAAATTTCAAAAGGTAAAGAATCCCGAAGTAATTTTTTTTCTTAGTTTAACTGGCTTTAAAAACAGAACAAATTAAGGTAATGAGCAAATTCACACGTCCACACCCCCCACAACGTAATAATTTTTGGTCAGCATGTTTGTCCCCCGTATGTGTTGTATACGTATCATAGTACCACCATTCTTTAAAAAAGTCCCTAGGCCCAGTGGCGTATGACGTCCGAATACACATTTTGCAGTGAACAAGTGCCCCCTCTCAGTCGACGCATAGGGATAGAAGGCAAGCACGGCAGGCTGGGCTCCCTCCATCTCCCATTACCAGTCTGACAATATAGCGTTACCATCCAACAAGTGAGTTTACCTTATCCATCAATCTCCTTCCGAACCCCACACGACAATTGGTGCAAATGTTAATTGTTGGGCCACACGCACACACACACAAATGGGTGAGTACACTCAGTGAAGATGCGGGGCCAGGAGCAGAGTCTCGACCCCTGCAACCACAATTAGGTGAGTACACACACACACACACACGAGTATACATACACGAGTACAAGCATTCACACATATGAGTACACAAATACACATGCAAACACACACGCACACACATGTGGTAATGCTTTATTTACAGGGAGCAAAGTCAGGGTATTTTTCCAGAATGGTCTGTAATATACCACTGTGGATAAAATACTTAGACATATCTTGAACATTTCTGAGTGAGTTGTCTCTAAATTCATTAATATGATCACACTCCAGTACATAATGACGCAAGGTGTGACAATAGTCCATCTGGCAAAGTTTACATTTCGTTTGGTCTACATCTGGTGGTGGTGATTTAACCTGCCAAAGATACTTGTAACCCAGCCGGAGCCGGGCGGTAGTGACATCCAAGAGTCTGCTTATTTTGTTGGATGCACCATAGACATGTGGCTCCTCCTGCATGATGGAATGATGATAGATGGACTGACTTGTATCAATCTCCCTGAGTCTAAGTCAATAAAATTCGGTTAAAGTTCTTTTCGTATAATTGTTCTCAACTGCTAACTGACAAACCAATACTTGACATTGATTGTGTTGTCTCTTATCGTACTAGTGGCGCCCCTGCTTTTCGTTGGGGGGATGTTACATCGTCTGCCGAGTCTTTTTATTTCATTGGGAGTGATTTTCGTGTGCTAGTTTGACACTAATCCCTCTAGGATTTCCCAAGTGTATATAATCATATATCTCTTCCGCCTGCGTTCTATGGAGTACAGGTTGAGGAACTTCAAGCGTTCCAAGTAACTGTGGTGTTTTATTGCAGTTATGTGTACCGTGAAGGTTCTCTGTACATTTTCTAGGTCAGCAATTTCACCTGCCTTGAAAGGTGCTATTAGTGTGCAGCAATATTCCAGCCTAGATAGAACAAGCGACCTGTAGAGTGTCATCATGCGCTTGGCATCCCTGGTTTTCAAGGTTCTCATTATCCATCCCGCCATTTTTCTAGCAGATACGATTGATACAGTGTTGTGATCTTTGAAAGTGAGATCAACATTATATCCCAGATCTTTTAATTAGGTTCCGCTCTATTTTTGGGGTTGGTTTTTTTTTTGTTCTCGATTAGTTTTAATTTCCTCACTTTTTTCCAAATGGGATAATAAAATTTTTCTCATCCTGAATTTCAATTATTTTCTGGGGCCCATTTAAAGATTTGGTTGAGTCCCCCTGGAGTCTTGCATTCTTCACTGGGGGACACTGATGCAAATTTCGGATGTCTCTGAAAAGGGAAAGCCCGGGGTGTTTTGGCTTACTCGTCTAGTCAGATATGAGGATGAGAACGGGAGGGGGGTGAGTACGTACCTAGTGAACAGAGCTTTTCACATAACCCCCTCAGACTTTACCGTTGACTACCTCCTTTTGTGTTCATTTGTTGGGAAAATTATAGACCCATTCCCTTTTTTTTTTTTTTGCATTCCTTTATCACGCGTTTGTGTTTATTAAAACCATGGTCCACTTGACAAAGGTTTTTTGCAAATTTTTGTTACTCATCGCTTTTTGGTTTGTCTTCTAGGCATCCGGGACCTTGTCACAGGACCAATAGTTGGGACAGGCGGGAGCACCTGCTCTAACCCATGTTCCCCCTGGGTTGTGAAACTGAGGGTCTCTAGATGAGGGGGGCGATTTTGCTTTTAAAACCCCTATAAAAATTTTTTTATGAAAAGGGGATGTTAGGCATCGGTCGTAGTTCTTTGCTATTGCTTTACTGGTCCCCCATGTAGGAGAATAGTATACTAAGTTTGTGAGCAATTACCAGGTACAGGATCGATTACCAGTGTAAAGGACGTATTACCAGATGTTTTAGTTTAAAAAGGTGTGTCAGAGGGGTATTAAATGGGGGTAAGAAAAAAATTACCGGTTTATTTTGAGCAGAAATTTCCAAAAAATGTATGTAAACCTATTACCCGAGGGTTGGGAAAGTATTACCAGAGGGGGGGTAGGACAATATTACCCGAGGCAGGGCCTACGAGAGGGGAGCAACCGGGACATTGGGCCCGGGGGCCCGGCTGTGAATCTCTGAAGGGGCCCCCCAAACCCTGACGTTTTATTTTTATTTTTTTATTTTTTTTTTTCATTTTTTTTGGTAATTTCAGCTTTTTTTTTGTTTATTTCTTTTTAATAAATTTAAAATTCACTAACTTAAACTGAGGGAAAATTTAAAACTTCATCAGAGACAAAACAAATTTTGGCCCAAAAAAGGCAAACACCCAAAGTCAAAGACCTGGGAAATGATCATGTCGGGGGATCTCACCCAAGGGCCATAACATTGTTTCAATCGCACTGCTAGAAAAATGAAGGATGGTAATGAGAACCTTTAAATAGGAGGCCAAACCCCCTGATCACTCTTGGTCATTGTTCAACTAGGTGGAATATTTTTGCCACTAACCGCACCCTTTCAGGGAGGTGAAATTGCCGACCTAAAATGTACAAGAACTTTCAAAGGCGCGCATAACGGAGATAAAACACCTCAACTATTGGGAGCGTTGAGGTTTCCCAAACCTGTATTCCCTGGAACGCGGAAGGGGGGAGATACTGATTATATACACCTGAAAATCCCAGAGGGGCTATACCAAATTGACACGAAAAACACCCACTCAAAAAAAAAAGAGGCAACATGCAACCCCCCAAAAAAAAAAGAAAACAGGGGACAGCACAAAAAACAAAAGGTCAGGGGCCCCGGGGGTTTCAAAGCCCCGGGTTCCTGGGGGCCCCCCCCTCCTTTTAAATTTTTTTTATTTTTTTTTTTTTTTGGTTTTCAGCAATTTTTTTTTTTTTTTTTTAAAAACCCAAACTGGGAAAAAACCATAAAACCCCCCAAAAGGGCGCCCCCCCTGGGGGCCAGGCCCCCCCCAAACCTAAATTTTCTCCACCAAAAAAAAAGGGGGGGGCCCCCCGGGACCCCCGTCCCCCGGCCCAAACGGTGGTTTCTCCCAACGACTTTCAACAGGAAAAACCACCAAAAACAAAACCCCCCCTCCCCCAAATCCCCAAACGGGCCCCCACCAAACCTGTTTCCCAACCAAAAATCTTTTTTCCCCCCAAAAACCCCAAGGGCTTCCCTTTCCCCGCCCCCCAAAGGTTTCCCAGCCCCCACCCCCCCCAAAAAGAAAACGGGGGTGCACAGCCGAAAGGACCCCCCAAAAGGGGGGGGCCCGGACGTTCAACGCCCCCGCCAAAGGGGGGGTTTTCCCCAATAGACCCCTGCAGTCTTCAAGCGGCACGGGAAAAGCACCTAAAGTCGTTGGGATCACCCGGGGCTGTGGCTCGAGGGGGTTTGCGTGCACCCGCAGCAACCCTGGTTGACAGGCTCTGAACCAGGAGGCCTGGCTAAACCCGGGGCCCGGGGGGGCGGCCCCCCGGAAACCCCCCAAGGTAACTCCAGGAAAACGGGGCCTCACCCCCCCCCAGGGGCCCGAAAGCATCTTGTTCCGCCTTGAAAAATTTCCCGGAGTCCTGACCGAGGTGAGGACATATTACCAGAGGTATAGGACGTTTTAAAAGGTGTGGGAACAGTATTACCAGGGGGTTAGGACGAAATTACCAGAGGTGTGGACAGAATTCCCAAAAGGGGTACAGAACAGTTTTCCAAGGGTAGGGGGTTTTTTTCCAGAGGTGTGGGAGAGTTTTACCAGAGGTGTAGAAGTATTCCCAAGGGTTGGGACAGTTTTACCAGAGGTACAGGACGTTTACCAGAGCGTAGGACATTTTTACCAGAGGTGTAGGCGTATTACCAGAGGTACAGAACAGTTTTACCAGAGGTGTAGGAGAGTATTACCAGAGTTGGGAATATTACCAGGGGTGTAGGCAGTATACCAGATTTAGGACGTATTACCAAGGTACAAAACGTTTTACCAAGCGTGGGACAGTATTACCAGAGGTGAAGAAGTTTACCAGAGGTGTGGGCGTATTCCCAAAGGGGGTACAGGACATAACCAAAGGGGTGTAGGACAGCATTCCCAAAGGGGTTTGTGGGACAGTATTACCAGATGTAGACGTATTACCAGACGTGAGGAAGTATTACCGAGTTTAGGACAAAATTTCCCCAAGTTTTAGGCGTATTGACAGAGTTGTGGAAGTATTGCCAGAGTTTAGGACAGTATTGCCAAGTTGTAGGACAGTTTTGCCAGAGTTGTGGACAGTTTTACCAAGTTGTAGGCAGATTGCCAATTTGTGGGACAGATTCCCAGAGTTGTGGGACGTATTGCCGGTTGTAGGAAGTATTGCCGATTTGTAGGACATATTCCCAGGGGGTACAGAAAAGTTTTCCCAGACTGTAGGCAGTATTCCCAGAGGGTAAGACAGTATTACCAAGTGTAAGCGTATTACCAGAGGTACGGACAGTTTCCCAGAGGGCAGGACGTATTACCAGGGGTGAAGGACAGCATTCCCAGGGGTGTAGGACATTTTACCAAGGTGTAGGGCATTTTTACCGCTGTAGGATAGTTTTACCAGATTTTTTGGCAGAATTCCCAATTTGAGGACAGTATTGCCAAGTTGTAGCAGTATTGCCAGGTTGGGGGACAATATTGTCGAGTTGTAGGACATATTACCAAGGTGTAGGACTATTCCCAAGGTTGTAGGACAGTATTACCAGAGTTGTGGGACAGTATTACCGGGGTGTAGACGTTTACCAGAGGTAGACATATTCCCAGAGTTGTAGCGTTTGAGATTTTGTGGAAGTATTGCCAGAGTTGTAGGAAAATTTTTGCCGATTTTGTAGGACAGTTGCCAAGTTGTAGGACTTTTTTCCAGAGTTGTAGGACGAAATTCCCAAAGGGTACAAAAAAATGTTTTCCAGACTGAGGACAGTATTCCCA